GAGGCTGCTGGACACTGGCACCACCAGGCCCTCTGACCACTGGAGCTGGGGCTCGAACCGGCAACCTTCCGATTACAAGGCAAACTGCCAACTCTTGAGCAACGACCGCCCGTGAAAGATGAAGATGAAGAATAGTTGTTGGATAGGTGGCAGAAATCATACCTCAATCCAGCAAATGGCAATAAAAATAAACAATTAATATACTATAACACAGTCAGGTGTCAAATAAAGAAGTAAAATAGCAACATTATAAACAGAAGGACTTATTAAAAAGACCAGTCTCAACCAAGACAGATTCATTTTTGAGTCCAGACACAAAGTTTCAGAGTTTCCGTATATTTACTCTTAGAAAAATAACAAGCCTGCAAACCAACCCTCCATAATTGTTTATTGAATTTAGGGTTGCAGTGGGCTTGAACTTATCATAGCTGACTTGCCATGAGGCTACAAACATACAACAAATACATGAATATAAGTTTTTTTTTTTTTTCTTTTTTCATTGCCATGAATCTACCATTAATACTAGATGTTGTATGTTACAGGAACTGATTTCAAGAATAGCAGTGCTGAATCATGGTCAAATTCAAGAAACTGAGGAGCTGCATATCACTTGCTCCAGAGCTATTGCTAATATGCCAGTATAGCGTCTATCACATCAAGTCTGTGCAAGCAAGGCTGTTCGAGCTCAGTTTTGAAATCATGCCATAGTCTGTAAGGAATGTCAGTACTGCTTTTGTGTTGGCAAGTTACAACATCTGACTTTACAACATCTGATGTTCATCATACTTTCCCAAGTTTATTAATCTTACCACTGTATATTTTGCAATGAATCACACAGGCGGGTTTGACTGCCCAGCTTTATTGAGTAGGTAGTCTGTAATTACGTGATATCACCACTGAGGATGAGGGTCAAAGGAGTTCTCTCCACCCATTACAAATCAGCTCATCAGCTGAAAAATTGGTGTCGTCTTTAGCAAAGTTGACTCACTATTCTCCCACCTGCACTGCGATTTGTTCAAACCTTCAGCTCTGACATGACTAAACCCCTCATATCATCACCTGCTCTTCCTCCAGGCCTGTTACTGATGGTCGGCCTCATGCTGTACCCTGCTGGTTGGGGTTCAGAGAAGGTGAAGTTCTACTGTGGCTCCGATGCGTTGCCGTTTCGACCATTTAATTGTTCACTTGGCTGGGCGTTCTACACAGCGATAGGAGGAACGCTAGCAACCTTCCTGTGTGCCGTTCTGTCTGCACAGGCCGAGATCGCTACTTCCAGCGATAAAGTTCAGGAGGAGATTGAGGATGGGAAAAGTCTGATCTGCCTGCTCTGAGCCTTTAGAAAACCTGGGAAGCTGCAGAAGATCACCCACGGTGTAATTTCTCTGATGTGGACTACAACTTCGTGGAGGGAGGACAGATGTTTCTCGGTGGTGATTTTCTTCCCCCCTCGTGATAGTCTGGATAAAATCAGCTGATTGTTGTAAACGGCCTTAATAACCCCCCCCCCGACTTTAAAAAAAAAATTTTTACTCTCTTGCGATGGAGACTACCTGATGAGCAGTTGAAAAGGGAATAAAATGCTTCCCCCCTTTTAGAACTTCAGTTTAAAAATCTCTGGTAAAGCTGGAGAAGGAGGAAAACTTATATACTTATACGTTTTTTGTTTTTTTGCTGGAATAGCAGGAGGTTAGTGAAATAAATTGGATTGGCAGTGGATAGGTTTTTAGATTTAACATGTTAAACACGGCCAGAAAGCCAGTTTATTTGTTTTAACCATCATTATGTTCATTCATAGGGTTCGATCACTAACCACTACCAGATTCAACAACTCAAACACCCAGCAACGTTCTTGTACAAATATTTTATTAATAATAATGCTTGAGTAAAGAAAATCTGTACTTTTGCCACTTCTGGTGATAGACATTAACTTGAGGTTTCTTAAATGCCTATGTGCTCTGATTCTGTGGTAGCAGGACATTGAGACTCTTTTTAAACGCTTTAAGTTGAAAATCACCACAGAAGGGATTTTTAGTTTCAAAGGGAGCTCCTCCTGTTTAACTGATTGTGTAGCTTAATAACAGTTTGTGTGTGCGTATGCAGAAACAAACAAAAGAAAACAGAGCTCTGCCAGATGTTTCATTGTGTGTGGCTTCGTGACGGGCTAAAGCAGCAAGATGAAGCAGGTGGTTTATCATGAAATACCGTATGACATGCAGAAAGCCATAAACACAAGTCTGGCTTTGTGAAGGTGCCCAAAAGATAAGGATTGAAAAAACCTCCCACTGGGTCATTACACTTCATTCCCACTCGTGAGTGATTTGGACACTTTTGCAAAGCTGATTAAAGTGAACCTCCATCGCAGTTTGATGGTTTTCCAATTGGAACCTACCGGTATTTTATTTTGCACTCTGCCTTTAAATCATTTCACATTGCTGCATATTGTATTAATTCCTAATTAATCCATTTAAATGTTTCTGTATATGTTAGGATTCATGTGATGCAGTGCTTTTATTCATTGTAGATGTGCAATAATTCCATTAGTGTTGTTTTCTGAGAGCAAGTAGGCAGAATGAAAGTGAACTTGTGATATGGATTTACATCCAAACACATAGTATGACTGTGATTAAATATATACTGTCTATTTTTGTTACATTAACAAAAGAGTATAAGTGGAACACTGTATGAGGCTTCGTGTATGAGAAGGTGATATATCTGAGGACAGAGAACCCGTGCTTAAATAAAGCAGGACTTCTTTACTCTGTGTTAGAAATGTGTAAACTCTGTTTCTACTGTGCCAAGACTTCCTGATGAAACACTGACCCCTGGAGACGGACGGTGGACATTAGCTCATAACAGTGTTAAGAGGCTTGTGAGGTAAATCTGAAGTGATATGAGATGATTAACAAGTTGGTTGTTTTGTTTTTGTTTTGTTTTGTTTTGTTTACTGGCAATTTTTAAATTTTATATTAAATCCATTTGTTTAACTTTTGAAAATCTCGTGACTCTTTTCATCTCTAAGCATGTATGTATGATACCCTACAAACTGTGTCACAGGCTTCGGAGTCTAAGTGGTTCTTAAACTTTTTGTTTAGTATGCCACCAAAAAATAGTAATTTGTATTCAAACATGACCAGTAAAATAAATAAATGAATGGATGTATGAATAAAAAAAAAAAAAATTGTCATGAGAATGAGCCTACCATCTTGCAAATGGTAGAGCAAGTTTTAGTTAGCTGAGTGACATCTGTAGCACATCTGCTTCAAGGTTTAATGCGTTGTATGCTCAGAGATTATCTTCTGCATACTTTGGTTCATTATAACAAGCAGTTACAACCAAGATGTGAGAGTTACTGTTGCCTTTGGTCACACTGCTTCAAGCTGAATAATTCTCCACTGACCTCTGCATGCATCAGCACAATCTTTGCCTAGAGAACTACGGCTCACCGATTTTTCTCTTTCAGTTCATCCTCTGTAAACCTTAGATTGTTGTGTGGAAAATTCCCAGTAAAACGGCAGTTTCTGAAATTCCGAGACCACCTTTCCTTCCTCATTTTGACACAGTTTGAATTTGAGCAGATACCCTTCTCCATGGTCATTCTTAATGTTTTTTTTTTTTTTTTTGTTAAATCACGGCAAGAGGATAAATTTGTAATTATATAACAAATCCACAATCATTTCTTTGAAATTTTATTTCATGTTAATACCATAAATATACAAAACTCAAACTATTTCACATGCGACAAAGGCCAGACAAGAGTGCATTACTTCTTTTTACACGTGATTTGATAATGGGGATCGATTTTTCAACTTTACAAAATGTACAAGTGTCCCTTTCTGGATGAGTTTTTTTTTTCTTTTTCTCTGATTCAGTGAAATAACATAGTCACAGGTCCGAAACAGTTTTGTGTTGGCAAACTTCAAACACATTGTTCTGTACTGCCGACCAGCTCATCAAATACATCAAGAAATTACCCACTGCAGCATGGCTTTGTAAAACAACTGTTTGAAACTATAGATAGATGGGACTCATGTGGGTGTATGTAAGGAAAAAGAATACCTCAAAGTAAAACATGGAAAGGGATCACACCACAAACTGAGATTTGAAAACAAATCTGTATGGACATTTGGTAGATTTCTCACAGCTTTTCAGGACATAGAATAACACTTGAGGGAGCTTATTTTATTTCTTTTCCTCTTTCATACCGACCATAAACACACATCCTCGTACGACAAGCACACCTCTCGCAAGGTCAAGTTGCAAAGTCATTAAACACTTAAAAAAAACCTTTAAATCTAGCTGATGCTATGACAGTGTCATTAAAAAAAAACCCACACAAACCAAAAAGGAAACAAAATGCAAACAGTTTAAATTACACCATAAATAAAAACATTTTTCTCTTACGCTACGTTCAACATAAAACAAGAAATGTGCAATGAATTTCGATGAAATTACGTCCAAATCAAAAGAATACTGCAGAGATCTAGGCTTATTCTTTCAGGACAAATTACCGAGCCTCAGCTAGCTAACACTGACAGCATTTCGTCCACGATAAAGTTCAGGCTATACATTTTTAATAACAGTAGTGCCAGTTATCACCCGTCTTCTGCCATGCACATCTTCACACACTCACCAACATCATGAGAGGTGCTAAAGCACAAAGAAAAAAAATAAAGAAACCCACATCCATATTTCACATCAGTGACAGTAGTCTGTACAACTTGGTGCTGGATAACACTGTTATTATTGTAGATAAATTAGTGTATCATAGTGACGGCACCCCAAGTCCAATCTTCTGTTATATTAATGCTTATTTTGGCTATAAAACTTCAAATGCCAGTAATTCACTACTGACCGAGGAAAACAAAAATGGAGTGTTAGCCTATGTAGTGTACATATACACGGTGTCAATGGTTTTTTTTACAAGTTTATGTATGCAGGTTAATCTCAGGAAAAATGATAGCTTTATCACTTTATCCAGAACTGTGGACAGTGATTCTTCTGTGAGAAAAGGCAGGTCCGATCCCTATGAATGGTACGCATCCTTTTCAATAGGAAACACGACAGCGGGAGGCCACGACTGAGCGCCTCTGAGATTCATAGCAGCGTTAGTTTTCGAGTATGAGGAGCTACAAAAACAACCGAGGGCCACACAGTTTTTGCGTTAATACACACATAAGGGGGAAAAAAAAAGCTAATATTCAATTTTCATTCCCCTTTTCCCTCCAATTTTCTTCTCTTAACCGTCATCTTCTGTCAGGCAGCCACCGAGACATGCAAACAGCCCTCACAGCAAAACCGAGGGAGGATAAGTAGGCAGACATTCACCGAAAACCAGCTCCTTGTAGCTGGGACCAAAAGGAAGTGGGAAGAATGACTTTGCCAAAGACTTAGCTACCTTGGGTGTGCTAAACATGCATGCCGCTATCATGCTGTCAAATCTAGAGATGCTGACCCAGCCCACGTTGTCAATCAAAGTAGCACACAGAGCAGGAAAAAAATGGCTCACCTGGCAGGTGTTGTTGGGGGGGGCAGGTCCTTATATAAGAACATACAGACATTTTCCTATTCTTGTGATTTTTTTTTTTTGTTTGTTTTGTCTTTTACTATAACAAGAATGGTACTTGTCTCACAACAAAAGCACAGATATAGGACAAGGTACCATTTACCTTTCAGAGCTTAATGACGGAGCACTGGATTATATTAAAAAAAAAAAAAAGAAGAAAGAAAGAAATCAGAGCCACAATTTTCTTGGAGTGAAGCAGACATTCGCACAGAGGCCCAGCCACTTTCAGTATACGGGCAAGAAAACCAAACTATGTGCAAAACACCACGGTCAGATCACTTTTCATTTATCAGGCAGGAAACTGTTTCGGGGTCATCACCCTCACAGAAATAAGGTATGGTCGAGCTGCAACCTTTACCTGACCTAGGATCACCTCGAGGGGACAGACGAACAAGGAGAGTAAAGGAGTGCGCAAGCGTGTGCGATGAAATCTCACACAGTCGGAGCACACCTTGAGTCACTTGCTGGATGTTTTGTGGGATGTGAGCAGATAGTCACCTGACTGAAAAGCTGACCAGGTGGATGCAGGAGAGCTGATATATGATTTAAAGTGAAGATGGACAACTCCGATAGTTTTTTCCGTTATTTTGCTTCACACTTTTTAAGCAAAGTGTGTCGGTGCAGGGCAAACATTCACAAATATTATCAATTTGATCCGAGGACCAGCAGGGCCAGAGTTGTGCATCTCCATTTTTTCTGTGTGTGTGTGTGTGTGTTTAAGTATATGCGTGTGTGTTTAAATGAGCACTGAGCACGTGTACCACATCTGTTTATGGATGAGCTTTGAAGGCCCCGCGAGCAGCGTTGGATGCAGCATTGGCTGCAGCGTTGGCAGCTGCAGTCTGAACGGTCTTGTTAGACATGACCCCGGTCGCAAACTCTTGCTGGGCTTTCTCAAAACTAGCACCGGTGGTGCGATAGAGCGCGTGCACCTGTGGAAAGAAGACAAGGAATTAGTTGCAATCAATTTATTTGGTTTAAATTTACCAAAAGAACTGCAGCACAGCACGATAGGAAAGATGTTTCTCTTCCTGTCCAGTCATAGCACTGATTCTTCTTGGCATACAGCACTATTCTTATTTCTAACACACTACAAGATGATGTAGACCAGGGGTGTCAAACATAAGGGGCCAGAATGGGCTGGGAAAAAAATACAATCTGGTCCACTGGACAGCTCTGGAGAATGTGGAGAGTGGCATTAATTTCAGATTTTTTTTTAAAAACACCAGCAAAGTAAAAACTCTGATCTTTCACTATAAACTAAAAAAAGATTTTAAAGAGTCTTTTCTGCAAATTGATAAAAACTTTTGAAATTTTGTTGATTTAACAGTCAAAAAAGCAGTTTTGTAACAGATTTGTTTCATTTACTACAAGAACATTTCTTTATCAAATAGAAAAACTGAGTCACACTGTGGAGACTGCACTTCTTTTTCTTTGTTCTAAGCCATCACAAGGATTACATTTATAGTGAGAGAAAGGAGGAGATACACTACTAAAAGGCCAACTTAGGATCATAGTGGGCTGTAGTTTTAGATCCCTAGTTTAGAGGTTTCCCTCTTCTCTGTCCACTTAAGTCCTCGTAGAAGCAAGTCTTCTTTATTGGCAGCCATCCTGGCACTTATTCCAAGCTAATAAAACCAAAGCCCCAATTAAAATGAATGGAGAACGAGCCATAACTTTAATTTCGGAGGTCAACTTCACATAAAAACTGAATTGATTGAATCTTCATTTACATTTGATTTGGTGACTTTGCCCAAAATGCGAAATACAGAACATCATGACCTCGTTTAGGTTGCAATCCAGAGAGCAGATATTATAGAGTACACTACCCTAACTCTTTACTACAGTTACAAGTAGATCTGTCTGCCACTGCCCAACTGGCTCTCATATTTCCCGCTTCGGCTGTCGATTTGCTCGGCACTCCTGCCATCTTTGGCATTCCAAAATTCTCCCACTGATTTCTCAGAGTGCCACATCTCACTTTTACAGCGTCTCTATTGTCACAGCAAAACCTTTTACTAATAATATCCTTTGTCACTGTAAGGATGCCGTCTTTGTGTTGTGTTACCTTTTTAAACATAATGAGGGAGCCCACAGACAGAGCAGTAAAGAGGGCTGCGATGAGTAACATGATGATTCCTACAGGGATACTGGTGTTCAGGCCAGTTAGAGCTGCGATCCAACCACTGGCAAGACAAAGAAAAAAACCAAGATGACAATGTGATCTTCAGTGCACACTGATCTACGGTGCCTGGATCAGCTCAAGTACAAAATACTCACCATGTTCCCCAACCAGTGATGCCAATGGTTTGTAGAACGTGAACTCCAAACTGACAGATGTAGACGAAGAAGAAGACAAAGAAGCGGAACGAACTGTCGCTCCTACGGTGGAAAAAAAAGAAACGGTAAGAGAGCAATGTGGAGGGAATAAAGTCAAACTGTGCCACTAGTTCATCCTCCATTAAACATTAATTACTTAATCCTTCCCTCATTCTCTCAAAGCCTTTATGCGTGAAATAGTCGAGTGCACGGTAAGAACATGGCAAAGTCAGCTGCCCAACTCTTTTTACCAGTTTCATATTTGGAACACTATTAACTTTATCTTAAGTTAATTTATGTGTGTTAAAAGGAAGGTGCACATCTGTTCAGTTTTTATAGAAGCTGAGAGTTTGTGATGTTTGAGAAATGCTGTGTGAGCTTGTTCTTCTGGGCACACAGAAGGGGGACTTTAAATCCCTGAGCTGCTCCTTTAAGAAGAAGACAGGCAGTACCGGTAAGTGTTTTTATTTAAGATAGCCTTGATCGGCCACAGACACAGGAGATAAAGCAGAAATGATTTTGGAGAACATACCTGTAGGTCTGTGTTCACCTAGACCTACTCTCCTAATCTCTTTTTTTGGTGTCTTTTTCCAACCTTCCTGTGTATACAATTTATTGTATTTCAACTATAAAAACTGAACCCACATATTTTTAGAGACTTAGACCCCAAATATCAGTGGAAAGGCAGTGTTCTTCTTTTTGGTTTTTCATGTTTCAGCTTACCTGAAAGCCCCGTAAAGCGGTCTGTACCAGCAGACGAAAGAACATGGGGTAAAAAGCAGAAACCAGAGCATAGCCAGGCCAAAATCTACGCCACGAGTTGGATCCACACAGAACCAGGCCAAACAGCCAAACATGTTCACAAAGAGCGTGCCTGCATGGACTGATAAACAAAGATGTCAAAGAACCTCAGATTAAACCTAAACTTATACTAAGCAACATTTTCTATACAGATTCTTGTGAATGACCAAACGGTTGATGTTTCTTAGGTAACTTGCATCATTAACCACTTGATGTGGTTAATTTAGAAAGAAATTGATGAGGTGTGCTAAATAGTACACTTACACATCCAAAGGTTGTACATAATCTTTACAGTCTTCTGGAACTCTACAGGGATGTCCACTGCAATGTCGTGGTAAAAACATGGACCAACAGGGAACTTCTCCGGTAGTGGAGGCCAGTTGTTCTTCCGCCCTGCGTGGAGAAACGAAGCAGTGGTTGGATGTTGAGCTTTTTCATCTAAAGCTAAAATATTATTAAATATACTAACAGATTTGTTTGCAAGAATCTTAACAAGGCAGAAAAAAATACGTTACAAGTTATTATCACCACGGACATTACCCTACAATTAGTAAATGTGAATAAAGTATGAGTGTTTGACATGAAATGTTTCTTTCATTCAGTCTATTCAATTAGATTTATCCTATGTACATTTAAACATGAACATGCACTATAACATTATGCCTTCTTAATTCAAATACAGAGAAATACTTTCTTTTACGTTTTAAAACTGTGTTTGTCAATCACCATTTATTTATTTTATGCAACTTGTATTAAATTTCCAATTTTGTAAATCAGACATTCACTAAGATATATAGCTTGTGTGTCGCTTTCACTCCCATCCTGCACCACACGCACATACACATGCACTCACACACAGCAACACACTTTGGTCCATTTGATCAACTGGACATTTTTTGGCACAGTGCAAAACTTAAACTGGAACATTTCCTGTTCCATACTTGTGTAAAACTGTACCTGCACAGAATTAAAATGCTCTTCACAAATTGTGCGCCACGCCTGATATCTTAGTGTCAAGGTAAGAAGTCAACTTTTAGATCAGCGCTGTTGCTAGTCCAGCTCTGAGTGGGACCCAGAATTCAGACTTTGAGGTTGAAACGTGCGAGTGATTCAAATGGGTAACTGATGGACTGACTGACCTCCAACGGCTCCGTGGGACTGTAACTCTCTCTCTCGACGATCGAGCTCTGCTGCTTTCTTCTCCAGCTCTTCCTGCCTTCTCAACAACTCAGCCTGAGCACGCGCTTGGTCCTGAGACAAACACAGATGTGATCTTAAAGCTCACAATCCAACATCTGACAGAGGTCCAGTATGACATGAAGTCCAATGATGTAAGTAAAGGTTTTGTCACTCAGGGAAAGCTCAGACATGTTAGTTTAACAAGGGAAAATACGGGCTCTGATTTTAAAACGTATCAACAACTGCAGTTCACTCACTTGCCTCTAACAGCTAGCTCTATACAACTCTAAAGTGATGCTACAGGTGGAAAAGGGTCATTGAATGGATCCACACTATTCAAGACAGTGACATAAAAGGGTGCAGGAAACATTAAATGAAAAGGCAGTACCTCATTACGCCGCTGATGGGCCATCAGAAATCAGATAAGTATATGAAGAACAAGAGGAAAGGACAAAGTGTTGTAGTGTTGCAGGTATGGGGACAGTTGCACATTTTTGGTTCTTTTTCAATTTTGATCACCTTTAACACATAGAGCCCAAAGTCTAGGTTCTCTGGGACTCGCTAGCCACCTTTAACTCTTCTTTTTTGTACACAGGGATCTACAGAGCTAGCTAAAAAAGGATATTTGAACACTGCTGCTTTTGCTAGTCTGCAACAGAAATGCTAGTTAACTAAAGCGACCCACCATAGAAAGCAGCGCCTCTCTCTTTCTCTGATGGGAAATTGTAAACAAGCAGGTGGGAAATGAGACAGACAGCTGCGCAAACTAGTGTGAGTTTGCAGCCCACTCGTATCTAGGCTGTGTCGAGAGTGCAGTAGCTTATAACCACTTGATTGGAAAAATGTACAACTACATTCTGCACAGACATGTAAGGAAAGACGTCTGCTGTTGGAGAGACTGCTAACATTAGCCCATGTTTTCAAACGTATCCAGCACTGTGTGTAAGATGTGCAAAGTACCACTTATTCAGCAGGATTAAAAAATACTACTTATTTTCAAAGAATGTGATTAACTGTTTAAAGTAGCTCTTAAAAACATAAGCAGTATTTCTATTAATAATGTTTAAGTTCTACAGTCCTAGTTGACTCCCTTGAGTTTTTTCTCAGACCAGTAAATTAATCTTTCTGAAAAGTCTTTAGTCTGTGGAAACTTCAACATCTTCCCTCTAAAGTGCATTTTAGCTTCTTTGACTGTAAATTCAGGTTCATCCCGTTGCTTCTGTCAGCAATAAAATCAAAGATTAATGTCAGAGTTAGAGTTCCCTTGGGAGCCGTATAAACCCCAATAACAAAACCTCCACCATTCTTCACAGATAAAATTTGAGACTGAAAAAACAACGCCATCAAGCCAAAATTTTCTTTGATTTTTTTGCGTCCTTCTGGACCTTCTGTTAATGAGTATCCTCAGCGGTTTGTATCTAGTGCTGAACTTGCTCCAGTTAAATAAACAAGACAAGACGTGATGGATGTAACAGGACAAGAATAGACAGAAATTTTGCAATGATCTACACATTTGTGTCCAGCTGTTGATGTCCACCTCTGTCTGACAGATTTTTCTCTCTTATCTACCTCACTTGCACTCTGACCCTCTTTACTTGTCATGCTTACAAAAAAACCCATCTCTTCATCAACTCCAAGCTAGACATTAACCGATGTTAACACACTGCTTCCCAAGAAATGTTTCACAGCCATGTTTTCAATTACTTTTCAGCACTTGCACATTGGGCACTGTGTGTTTAATGGCTATAACACACTCACGGCTCTTTTTATATTATTAACTTAGTAGAAAGATGAGAAAAAACATAGTGCGACTAACCAAATATGTTTAGTTTGAATTGCGTATGACAAAAACATGTTGACAACCTAACTGAAACAAAAAAATGAGAAGAAAACTGGATGTGAAACATGTATATGAATGCTCCTGTGTGTTTTACCTGAGTCTGTTGCTGTGAGTAAGCTGGCGGCTCTTCTGTGGGCTTCATGATGGCAGGCTGTGTGTTCTGGGAAGGTGCTGGAGTAGATTTGGGGGTGTTTCTTGGGGCTGCCTGTAATCCAGCAGAGATTCTCTATGTTAATATTTGTGCAAGCTTTAAGAAAAAGTGTAATTAGGCCACAGTCATATTTTGTCACTGAAATCCTCTGTGACTGAGAGGAGGAGGAGAGAAAGAGGATGAGGGTAAGGGATAAAAACGAGGTCACTGACTAAGAAGCACATAAACGCATGCATGCACACTACTCATCAATGAAATGAAGTTGCCCGTAAAGCTGACCGTTCTGGCGTCTGTGAAGGGGTTATACTCCTCCAGACCACCAGGAGGGGCAGATCGTGTCACCTGGGTCACCGAAGGATCCTACAGGGCAGAGAGGTCCACATAGGAATTTAGGGAGTTAAAACTAAAACTGCAAGACCAAAAGCTTCATTCACAAGATGCCGTTAGACGGTCTTTAGTTTCTGAAAATCAGCGGTGAGAAGTTTACATAAACAACATGTAAATGTCTCACTTTAATGATGGTATTCTACTAATATTAAGGCTTTCCACCATGTTTTGTGAAAAGCTAAAAACGCGCAAGTTTAAACACCCTGATAAACACAGCTTCAAGTAAAGGGGACTCAACAGTTGCTTGAAATGAAAGCCTTAAGATTTCTGGAAGCGTGTGGTTTATAAAAGGTGGAATAAAATACAAGCTGTAGCAGAAATTAATAACTTGTTCCCTTGCTTAACATCGAAAACAGATGTACAGTGTCTATGTTTCCAAAATATTAGTCTACATGACTGCAAAGGCAGCCAAATGTTTGCTGGATACTGTGAAAGTACATAACACTGTGATATGAGCACAAAAATGCACCTGTCCTAAGCTAGCCACCCGGTAAACTGTCCATCAAGCTAGCAGTGGCCAGCGAGTGTTTACAGACGGTGGGCAGAGCTAATGCTATCCAGCTAGCTAACGTTGACATAATGTGTCTTTGTTCTCAAATGACATAATTCCTTTAAATTCGTTTACAATAGATATCCCCAGCAACAGTGAATTGTGACCATGTAATTATTCGGCACTCCCTCTACAAAACTATCGAGGAATAAAATTTGATGATTAGCTCATTCTGCAAGCAGGGATGCTAAAGTGAGATTGGCCTCAGTGGGTTTTCAAGCGTATACTAGCTTGCTTGCTTGCTAGCTAGCCATGTCAGCTACCTGAAAAGGATTGCTGAAATCCGGGTCTGCGAACGGGTTGCTGTCGAAATCGGACATTGTGTAGCCTTTCTAACAAGAGTTTCCTGTGTGCGGGAACTCCCCGATTCTCCAGGGAAGACTCAGGTCCTTTGATTTGACTGCTTCTCTCTGCCGCCTGCAGTCTTCTCCGCCTCCTGCTGATGGAGACCCCTTTATTAGCAAGTTAGCCAGTAGCACAAAAATGGCAGGAGAAGAGAGGATGCGTGATTAACAGAACGGTCTACGTCACTGTTTCAGCACCGCGGACAGCATGATGCCCGGGCAGGTGCGCTACCTCTGTACACAAATGTGCAGAGCACTGCACGACACACCTCTGGTGTATTGTATTGTTATGTACTGTATTTGTGTGTTGGACTGTGTGTGAGTATTTGAGACTTAAATATGGAAGATTACAAGTTCACATGTTGCATTCAGTCTCCGTATTTCCAGAGTACAATGTGCAAAACATACTACATGAGAGTTTACTGATCACAAAGTTCATCCAGTCCTCAAACTATACGCAAAAGCTACTGCCTGCCTTTATGGCAATTTGTTGTATTTGTGTGATGTTATGTAAGTATACAGATGTTTACTTACTGTCTGCAGAACACAGGATCCATCTGCATCATGCTGAACTGATACAAATTCTCTGACTAATAATATAAGGAAAATCTCACTCTTACATTGTAGACTCCATATCATGGATTACTGTACTTAACCCATTGGAGCACCTATTTGAATCGGATGATGATAGCTTAGTTATATGTTTCTTTCTGTGTGTGCATACTCTCCTACGTTTTGCACATATGCATTAAAATGGATGCTCCATCCATCCATCCATCCATCCATCCATCTTTATCATTTTCTGGGTTGTGGTGAGGCTGGAGCCTATCCTGGTTGTCATGGAGCTGAGAGGTGGGATACAAAATTTGCCCTGGACAGTTAGTCTGTCACAGACTCAGGCCCAAGCCAGGCAGTGGATTTAAACCCAAAACCTTTTTGGTGTGAGGCAACAATGCTAACCGCCTCATCACATGCAACAAGTCTTTTTCACTTATTAAAAAAATTGTAAAACTTTGACCCACTACAACATTGGTGTTTATCTTATTATCTGTAAATAATTAACAACTAAGAATGATCCAAAGAAACCGACCTTTTGCTTTTATTTCAAGTGCACCTTACTTTTCTAATTTCTTCCACACTGAATTACATTTTCAGTAATGCTATGTTGCTTTCAATGCAGTACTTTGAAATTAGTTATTACTTTTAAGCTCTCAAGATTATTTTCATAGTGTGCCCATACCCACATAGCCATACAATAAGTTCTTTCTATAAATTATTTCTATACAATTAGTTTTTATTAATTTTTTTTTTCAGTTGCCAAACAAAGAAGTCAACCTAAACTTGTGGGGCTGCTTTTACTTGCGTTTTACAATTTCCACCTTTGTAAGATGTAATGGCCAAATCTTTAATTCGGTGTACTGATGAGAATGTCTTCCCAAATTAAAACTTCACCGCCTCAGCGCAAAAGTGGAACTAAAAGACAAAACCTGCACACCCGGGCTAATGTGAGACAAGAAAAGATTTTTTTTCTTACATCATCCTTGTGATCATTCAGTAAACTACAATATTTGAGCTCCTGTAGGTCAAATACCAACGCAATCTCCTCCACTTGATGATTATGATGATTACGTTAATGATGATAATGATGATGAGGATGGTGATATATGGAAGTGTCTGCTGCTCACTTGGTAGCTTGTGCCTGTGTGAAAGAAGTAGAGAGGAAAACCTAGACTGCCTTTTTCATGATAAGTAACAGTGACCTCTTTATCTGGAGCAATCCCAGACAATTTACTGGAAATCATTTTATCTCTCTTGTCCACATATAAGAAGTATCAGCCCCCCTGAGAGCTCCTGTGGTGTGTGTTCGTGTGGGATTTTCTTCACTGGCTTCAAGATTCAGTTATATGTCAAAAATGCCCACTTGGGGGAGCTACGATCCAAAAGGTCTCTTCAACCCCGTTTCGCAGAATCCTTTCTCATTTTCCATCAATTTATTTTCATTCAAACCAAGGGTGACCATGTGAAGAACATCAGATCAGTTGACAGCCTGTAAATGTGATTTAAACATTTAAGCACCATTTACCCAGATTAAGTTTCAATTGAAGAACAAATGCTATTAGGTTGAAATCTTACAGTATGTTGTAAATGATGGTGGTTAAAATATTCCCTTTTCACTGTTTGAATTCAGCTGCTCATTTTTAAACAAAGGCAGCGCGTTTCTTTAGTTTTATGGCTGCTTATCATACAACCGTTAAATGAAACTAATGGGTTTTTGTTAATAAGCAGCTAAACATTTTCATGGCAAGTTAATGTGCTTTTTTGCTTTATATACTGTACCTATATAATGTTTGTGTGGATGAACTCTAGATAAACACAAAGTGAGAATTCATTACAATTCAACTTCAGTACACACACGCGCACACACATAAATGAGCATCGGTTCCTCCCCTAATCTTGTATTAATGGACCCAATCACAGAGTCTATGAATAATCAATGGCCAGTGGTCTGCAACCGCAGTGCTGAGACCTTGAGTGAAACTGAATTTTCCTAATAAGACACACACACACACACACCCACACACACACACATACAATCACACCTTGTGGACCTAATAAGCTCTAATGCTCTGTGGGTTGAAAATACGTCACATGGTTTGTTTGCTGTAGAATGTGAAAGATAAACATGCTGTGCCAGGATGTGCAAACTGTGTGCATGGACGTACTCTATATGTGTGTACAGGGGAGGAAAAGGGTGTGAAAAGAGGGATCTGTCTGTCCTTGTCCACTTGTCCACTGGCCCTCTAATGCTGCTTTCCATAGATGACTCTGTGAGGAAACAACCACTTTGGCTAATAGCTGCTACATTAGTCTCTTAACCAGCTGGTCATGGCCATTTAGAAATGTTCATTAGGTCGCAGACCAGAGTGGATAGGTGAGATAGTTCACTCCACACTGTTGACTGTAGAAAGACAGGAAAGGAGACAGAGAAAGAGGAGAGAGAGAGAGCGAGGAGAAGGGCGGACAAACAGACGGTGAGGGAGAAACAGAAGCAATTTACTGGCCAACATGACGACCAAGTGTAAAAAGCCACAGATGCAATTATCGTCATATTGCTCTGAATAAGAACCTTGTGCATAATTAGATCTCATTAAGGTCTATGAGTGTTATTTTAGGGCTCTGAAAGGTTGGATAAGCAGCACTTGATATTATGGCTTATTAATGCTGCAACATCTGGTGCCATTCTGGCAATGGCCTGACAATGTCTAAAGGGGCTGAAAAAATTCAGTATTCAACTGATGTTGTGACTAGATGGTAAAATACAATGCACGATCTGTTATGCTTATCCAAATATAGGGCTGGAGATATACTGTATATAGATATAGGGTATTATGGCTTTATGTATGCTGTGTGTATGCATGCGAGTTTGTTTGTGCTGATGACCAGTCAGAACACATTACACACCGCAGAGGGAAACAGCCCTCTGTCGCCGGAAAAGCGATTGATTCTCCATTTCCATATTAATGAGCAGATTTGTTAAGAGCCTGCAGGAGTGGGAGAAAATAACAGGGTCTTCATAGGGCACGACATTTATAAATAAAGCTGATGCAGAGAAAAATGGAAATTAAACCTTTTAGTTTAATAAATTTGAGGCGTCCGCAGCAAAGCGAGCGATTTGCATTTCCATTTGTGGCCAAATAATGAGAGTGCGGGTCCATGATGAGGCTGCTAGTGCTTCTTTTGGGTCTCAGGCAGTGAGACAATCACTCCAGCGTGCAGCCCTCCACATCAATGTCATTAGCTCAGGCCTGTTAACTCTGCTACTTGGCTTTCTAAGATTATTTGGTGAACTAGAGATTCCTATTGTCACTTCGAGTGAGGAATAGAAATGGCGTCAAAGTAAAATTCATTCACTTCTGTATCTACAGCATTCCCCACCTTGGACGTGTCTATATATTCCCTTAAATATTCATAGTCTATACATGCAGACATAACTTTAAAGTGATATTTTGTTGTTCTAAAACAACCTTGTCAGAAATCGTAGTTTTCCTTCGCTCTGCCATTCTCATAAACACTCGCACCTAGATGCACACCCACATGTGTCTGCACACACACGCACACACACACACAAAGCATCACTGATTGAATTTATTGGGGAATGGATGTTGACTAGACCACTCCAAGTAGGCTAGATTGTTGTTGTTCCCAGATTGACAGACAGACCCAGAGCGGCTGATTGAAAGTGCCTTTTAGCTTGCTCTCACTGTATATTTGATTTGGCAAAATGGAAGGGGAGTCCAGTCTTTTCCCAGGATGCAAACACAAGTCCCTGTGTTTGTGTGAGAGTATGTGTGTGTGTTTGTGTATTTATGTGCGCTCTGCGTACGTTGACTAGTGGATGCTTTTGTAAATGCTGCATAAAATGTACCCTTTCAGGTATTAATTGAATAATGCAAGCACTCCCCTTGTCAGCCATCAAGTGAGCCACTTTCTCGGTGGCCTGTGCCGTTCTCTTTGCCTGTGAATTGACTAGATTTATCTGCGTTGTTCCAGTCAATGGATGCCATTTGTTCCAAATATTTGACATAAACATGCAAAGAGCAGAGGCGTGCACTCATAAAATAAGCTTCTAGACTGTTGTTTTACAGCCCAAAGAGACAGAGGGCTCTCGGCCTATCGAATCATGTGGAGCTCTTGCTGAGCCAACAGCGTGTTAAAGTTCTTTTTCAACCAATGATGTGATGAAAAGGAACAATTGCTGCCATAAAAAAGAGGAGAAAGGAGAACGGGAAGAAGGAGAAAAAGAACATGACGAGAGAGACTGAGTTCTTTGGTGGTGCCAGTGCGCAGCTGGAAGAGAGCTGTGCAGTGTCCTGCTAAATATGCATAGTTATTTTCCATGCCTTTAATGGGACACATCTCATTGAGTGCCTTATGTCTGCTTCCAAACTGTAAAAGATATTTAGCTTCACACCTGCAGGAAATTCCCCGTAATAAAGACAATATTGGCAGAGTCTTTGCTGAATCTGCTCGATGCTTCCTAATGGCAGTCAGACAACTTCTGTGTTAATGCAGCTTGTAAGAAATAAAAATTTAAGTTGCATTTAACTTGTATCTTTGCATGAAAAGGATGTGGAATTGATTGTGATCAATCAGGGTAGCCATTTATTTT